AGTTTACGGTTTTTGGACCACTCCCTTGGACTTTACGGTCGTAAACCCATGAGTTTACGGCCGTAAACTCATGGTAACTCCTACCCTTTCGTGGTTAGGGGTCTTTAGCTCATTCATGCAAGGTTCTAGTCCAATATCCAAGTCCTAGAAGGTGTTGGTGGCACTTATACACCACTTGATGGTGTTTACGGTTCAAGGAGATGCCTTGACCGTAAACCCATGTGTTCTTGGGGGTTTTTGATGTTTGTCAAAGGTTTAACAAGTATTCTAAGTAAGTAACTAGTTAGGAGGAGTGTACTTACTTATAGGAAGTTTGTAAGAGTGTTTAAGGCCCAAAAACACTAATGTGTGTTCTTGGTGTTCTTGGTGTTTTGAAGAACACTTGAAGATTTATGAAAAAGACAAGATTTCATGGATGAAATCATGTATAACCAGTAGATGAAGTGTTATAACAACAAAAACAAGAGAATAAACACTTACATTTTTGGAAGATTGGAAGGAATGTGTTATGATACTTGAGAGAAAAGTTGGGTGTTCTTGAGCTTGGAATTGTAAAGTGAGGAAGTGGGGAGTAAACTCATGCCTTAAGCATGAGTTCAAGGTCAAGAGAGGTTTACGGCCCAAACTCCCCAAGTTTGGCCGTAAACACCTTGTTATGGTGTTGAAGTGTTTATTTGTTACACATTTCCCCTAGAAGATACTTCCTTTTATTTGTCATTTTGACGAATTTTAAATAAAAACACCCAAACAGGCTTTAAACCGGCCAAAAATGTACTGAAATGAATTTGACTAATATTTGCAGTGCTTGACTGTAGAGTTTATACAAATGAAAATTTCGGGTTGTCACAAGTGATTTGGGTTCTTTGGACATACATGAATGTGGTTGTCTTTAGGTCGAATAAGTACAAGAAACAATTTTTTTATAGCATTATTGAGCATTCTTTTAGGTGGCTTTCTTTTCGTAACACTAAGGTTAGAATTAGTTGGATTGCTTGGATGAACAATCCACTCTTGCCGTAACTTTTGTTTCTTGTTGCTAGTTTCTTGCTAGCTTTGGTTTATTTACAAAATTTTGTTGCCGTCAAAAAAAGATTTACCTTTATGTTGCAGTTTTTGGTAGTCATTTACTAAATATTAACTGTCATTTGGTAGTTATTGTCCGTTATCTATGTATATATGTGTACTCGAAACCTAAAAATATTTGATGAGATTTCTCTATAAATATTGAATGTTAGTAAAAGTTTCTTTATCAAGAAAGTCTCCTCCAGAATTGATTGTTCTTTTTTTGCTTCTATAGTTTCATCATCTATATTCTTCCGTAGTAGGAACTTTGGCATCACAAATATCATGTGATAAACTTACAACATAAACATTTAAACTTTGGTTTTAAAACCACATTTCCTAAAACAAAAATAACAAAAGTACATTATTTTTATGTGTAATTTTTCATCCTCTTAAATGTATATTGTCTAAACTTTTGTAAATGATGCTATGTAGACGAAGTATTTGCAGGATAAAGATTATACACAGTGTAAGTGGTTAATAAAAAAATTTACATGTAGAGTAAATTAAATGAATCTTATACGAAAATTATAGACGAGTTTTCAAAAGATTTTTTGTTTTTACAAGCCTTACACCTTTGACATGTTTTTAATCAAGTCATTTTCACTAAAAACATTAGAAGCCTATCATTAAATATCTGAAAATTATCATTTAACCGTATTTGGTAATTTTATGATTTTTGTTGGCAAACCACCACACCATACCACATCCCGCCATCTTCATCTTTATCAGGCAGTTTATCATTCTTTGTGGTGACTGGAATTTTTTTGGAGAAAGAGAGAGAGAGATAGAGAGATAGAGAGAGAGAGAGATAGAGAGATAGAGAGAGAGAGAGAGAGATTTTCCTTTCTATAACTTCTCGTTTTTTTTTCTATTTTTTTTCTATTTTTAACAGATTTTGAAAGAGAAATATCATATTGCTAAATCTCGTTGAAAATAGGGTTGGTTTGATAACCAAAGATATGCATAGATATCTTGACACCCTCGTAAAGTTAACTTTCCATAATTGTTATTCAGACCTATGATGGGTATCACAAAATCCAATATAAGATAATTTTCGGGCGCGTTCTGATTTAGACACAAATTTCGTTCGTTTTTAACTTGAATTCAAGGTGCATGATACACTTGATTTATGACATGTTTGTGAACATTTATGAATAGATTCTACGTAGATATGTATGGATACAAACCCTAAAGTAACGAGTAGTACATTAAATTTTTTGTTTATAAAATATGTCGAATGAATTTGTTCTAACGGCATCTTAATGTGATAGTTCTGCATGTTTTCTTTACCATCAATGTTGAGAGTTCGACCCATCACTCCTCTTTAAGCTTATGCCTTTTTTTTTGTCTGTGTTTATCCTTCCTTCCATATCTTTGTATTTTTTCACTCCAATTTTTTTGTTGCCTTTATCCTTTCTTCCTCACCGTCATCTCTAATGATATAGATTAAAGACCGAAACTTTCTGCAAAAAGCGTTACATAAATGATCTACATTTTGATTCGTGATCTTGTCACATCGACAAATTTTCTTCAAAGAGCGGATTCTTCTTAATCTCAATTAAATTGATTTGTTGAAGCTATGATTTCAATAGCCAAGTCGTTTTCGATTGACCCTAATCAATGACTCATCAACCACATAATACATTTCCATCACAACATCAACTTAATACCCCTAGACATTTTAAAGTTCAGAGGAGAGTATCTACACCGGTGATCGTACACATCAACACATTTTACTTCAGTTCTTGGAAGGTGGGCTAGTGAATCTTGATGAAACTCCACAATTTCTAATGTTTTTTAAGTGTGAAATTCATAGTTTTTGATTGTTTTCTTGCAATCTTTTCTTCACATTAAATCTCTAACACTCAAATGCTAAATTTTGTTTTGCAGAAAATAGGAACTGGTGTGATCGCTTGACAGGTGGGGAGGCTGCGTTCGTTTCCTGTGATTTCTTGGTTTAGGGGGTTTTCGGAATTAGTTTCTTCTGGCTTGATTGTTAATTAGGGTTGCAGGTGTCGATAAGTTTTAATTTTTTTGTAAAAAGTTTGATCTTTTTACAGGTATGGAGAAGTCTGTCGATGACGTCAGCAAGAGCTGTGAACTTAAGCAGGCGGATTGCGTAGCTGAACTGTAAGCCTTGCGTTTGGATTAGAATTTAGTTTCTTACATATATTATATGGAGAAATGTTCGATTATCATCTTTCTTTCAGGTGTTTTTTTTGCTGTGAATTTTGTTAGAAATGAAAGTTGGCTTTCTTTCCTAGTCACCGCTTTGCGATCAATGTCTAGGATTCTTGAGTTTTTTTGTTAAGTTTCGCTGTTTCATTGTTGAGATTTTTGTTGGATTATTCGGAACATTTGATCTATATCAATGATCAGGTTTGAGATAACACCATAAATCCTATGCATTTATCTTCTTTATATCGATTTATATTTTTAAAGGCAGAACTATTTCTTAGTGCTTAAGTTTTTTATTATTATTCTTGATTTTATAGTGTACTAGTTTGTGTTGCTTATGTTCAAAGTTTCGATTTATGCATTTATTCTTTGTGCAATGAAGCCCTGGGCAACCCCAAATGGATGAAGGCCCCAAATTGACAGCTTTGGATGCTAAATGATACATCAAAGTGGTAGAATCCAGGCTGGCAAGAGAGAAATATGTCGAGTTTCATGGTATCTTGCAAGAATTCAGGGAACACAGGTTTGTGAGGATTTGTAGTTCTTCTAATTTCATATGTTGTTGATTTGTGATAACTTATAGTTGATCTACTACATTCATTATCTCCTTTTAGCATTGACGTCCCGGGTGTCAAAATGAAGTTGATGAAACTGTTCAACGGAGATACAGAACTACTTTTGGGTCTGAATATATTTCTTCCAAAAGATTCACAAATCATCTTGACACAAGAAGATGAACCTAATGATCAAGTCATGCAACTTGTACAGCATATTAAGGTGATACCATCACACCATTTTCGAAACATCAACTCGAGTCTCCCATTTGTTAAATTTATTAATGTAATTGTTATTTGCTTGCAGATGGGACTTCAAGATGAAAACCATCTTTATATATCTTTTCTATCTATTTTAAATTTGTATAGAATGGGGAAATTATCAGCCAATAAGGTCCATAAGAAGGTAAGTCATTGAAGACTTGTGTATTTGTGTTTGTATTAATGGTATTATTTCATATACAAGGAATTACTATCTTGTTCAGGTTGCTGATCTTTTTCAAGACCATCAAGACCTAATTACTGAGTTTACCAACTTTTTACCTCAATGCCATCAAAACTCCATTGGGAACCATAACACTCGCAATGAACACTCGGGCTCATCAACCAAAAAGAGACGTCTTCGGTCTAAAGAGGTGATACTCTGCCTATTTTTAATTTCAAAACTTTATTCATCAAGCTAACATTAGGTGTCCTTACACTTACCAAATAATCATTAGTGACAACTTTCCAGTTTAACATCAAGATTTCACAGCAATGACCATTTGGATCATTATATATTATATGAATAAGCATGTATTTATTGCTAGGAAACTATGGCCTCTCATGCTGATGATGTTGAGAGTGGTGGTCAGCCTAATCCAAATCATGGAAAAGCACCTGCCAAATGTCATGAGAAAGGAAAAATGAAAAGGTCTACAACTGGTGGGAAACTTAAATTGGGCTCTAAGAGATCTACAACATCAATAAAAGACAAGAATAAGGCAAAACCATCTCAAGACCTTGACCTCTCTAATAGTGAAAGCTATAATCCAAGTTATCAGCTTGTCCCAAGAGATGTAATAGCTTCTTGCATCGTTGACTTGTTATTCTTTATAAGATTTCCACTATACTTGGTTCTTATTGTCATTGATTGTTTGTGTAATATAGTGTCCTAAACGACCAAAGCAAATCAAAGAAAAATGATGGATAATCAATTCCTGAATGATCATTAGGTGTCTGTTATTTATGAAAAGGAGGGTCACTCTTTCAAACCATTGGTCAAAAACCAATATGAAAAAATCTTATTTCAACATGAAGACGACAGGTAGAATTTTATGATGTGTAATCTTTGAGTTTTATCTATGATCATTAGATGTCATAAAAATACTTCCTTCTTTGGAGGCATTACTAGACTATGTGATGGTTTCTTTACATATTATTAGTTGTTATAGAAAAGAAGAGTCGCATAAATAGTTGCGTTTAATGATAGTATTATTGGTAATTGTATGTCAAGTTTGAATTAGATATGGGTATAGAACGCATAACGCTTACGATTATACAAGCAGGAGAATTAATGAAGAGAATTTGTGATAAATCTATCAAGTTAAACGGTGTATTTCCTCTTGAAGATTACTTTACAAGTAAGATGTTTCAATAACAGAAAGCAATTATAGTTCATCCATTTTTTAATTTTTATCCATTTATTCACCACTTTCCTCTTGGATTCTCAGGTCAAGGTTTAAGGTGCATCAAAAATATTTATGGTGATTATGGGCTTGATATGGTGGACAAATTAAGGAAAAATGTGTCTTTTAGTCTGCCAGTAATATTAATCCGTATGAAGCAGAAACAATAGGAATGGATAATGTTCCGTTCAGAATTAAATAAGATGTCGCGACAAATTTTTGTTGAAAACCATCAATTGTCTCTAGACCATCATGGTTTCTATCTCAAGCAGCAGGATGAAAAGATCTTACGTTATACAGGTAAGCTGATACCCACCCTCATAGGGGAGTCTATGGTTTCCATTCATTTTGGCCTATTAGAAAAGGCAGGATCATGAATTCCCCTCTCATCTTCATTGAAAAAAAACTCTAGAAAGCTTGTCTAGCCGAGTCGCATTAGATATTGCCCCATGTAACAAATGCAACCTTACTTACAACGAATCATTATTTATGTTTTTCTCTTTTTATATTGTAGTTTTATTGGCGGAAATCAATAAAATTAGTGAAGCCAAGTCGAAAGAGGACAATATTCATCAACTTCCACATGTAGACTTCATGTACTCCGATATGCATATTCATGGAGACCTCTTTAAGCTCATAAAAGTTTACGGTTCTGGAAAATTTTCCTCCAAACAAGTTGAAGCTGTTATGAAAATCTGGACCTATTTGGTGGAACCTTTGTTTGGTTTTGTTCAAACGACAGAAACAAGCAACAACAATTATCAAGAGTTTGTGACAAACGAGGTTGATTTATTTTCCCTTGTAGATCTTGAAAAAGGTGGTGTTGCAGCATGCATGGGTGATAGAATGAAAGCAGACAATACACCAAAGGATGTCAGCAAACAAAATTACCATAATAAACATCAGGTTTCTGGCAATAAAGCAGGTGCTAATAATTTACATGTGTTCTATGGAGATGACGTGTACTACATTTTCTTCAGACTTCATCATGTAATGATAATTTGCTATAAACTGAAGATTTCAATTTTTTTATCTATATATTCCATATTGTCTTATTTGATATTTCTCTTTAATGAACAAGAATTATACTCAAGACTCCAAGAAGCTAAACAATCTGCAAGTGAGAAATGGCAGGGGTTAAATGATACAACACCTAATGATACATATGTTATGTAAGCTTATGATTTCTTTTTCACCAAACTGTTTTTTACGTGGTCGTTGTCACATATTTTATTTTATTTCAATTTCTGTTATAGATTCTTGGATTTCCTCCATAATTATCTTGCAAATAGAGAAAAATATGAATATGAATGTCGAACTAGTTTCGTCACTTGGGTGGGACTTATCTTCTCGATAGAAAGGTTGATCAACAAGTTTTCTAGACAGGTGACATCCTCATTTCCATCTTCTAATTGTTCCTTTCTTATATATGTTAACTTCATTTTTCATGTTATATCAGCTACTAGCCATTGCCAATAATGAGGTCGATAACAAGCTTCTGGACTTGTTTACTCATGAGAAATCAAAAGAACCTGGTTGTTTTGTAGAAGAAGTTTATACTGAAAAAGCAAGTATGATTGTTAATGGCCATAAAATATTTCGGTTTGAGCGTGTAAGTAGTAACACATACTTTTGTCTTTTTTGTTCTTTAATATATAATACAATTACTATATATCGGTGTTTTCATTAAAGAAAAAAATTCTCAATTGCAGTTACTTTTACTAGACACAAAAGGACAAAACCGATTAACGATATCACAAATAAACTTGCATGAAAGGTATTTAGGATGCTTGGTTATAATCTAACATTTAGTTTAAGCTATCTTCCATGTCAAATGTTCTAGTTTTCATGAGATCAAATGAAAGAATTGTTGTTAAAATAACTAAAAAGAATATTTGTTTGTATAGAAATATAAAACAAAGCAATGCTAAAGGGGAAAGGGCAATTGAAGGGGTTCGAGTTGCCAATGGTCTTTCGGATAAGATGAAACAAAGTACATCGGAGGTAAATTTATATGAAAATTTTCAGAATGAAGGGAAAAAAATATGTTGTTTTGACATTTGGGCATTGAATTTGCAGGAAAACACGCTCCAGCCCAAGACTCTTTGATGTGTATTAGCCAAAGATAGCAACCATATTATGTTATAATTAATGATGATCTAAAGAAACAATAAAAGAACACAAATATCACAAACATATGTGGAAACCCTTATTGGGGAAAACCACAAGGCATTGATATTATATCATATCATATCATATCATATAATATGAAAATACTATACTATAATAGAAACATTTTTGCTATATTATTATGCATTTGAAATCTCCATTACCTTTCAATTTCCAAGTTAATATAATTAATCTATTATTTTAAAATATGTTTTTAAATGCAAAATATTATCCTTTTATTGGCAGACTTTTAAAATGATTATTATAATACACGTATTTGTTAATTTAAATATTATATTAATTTCAAAATATAAAAAAATTATTCAAATACTATTTTTCACAGTAGTAAAAAATGTTTAAATATTGCAAATATAGATCGTCAAGTTAATAATACTAAACAGTTTTAAAATTAATGAACAATAATTATAAACAATAATAACATCAAATTATAAATTATATAACATTACCTTTAAAATTAGTGAATTTTAAATAAACATCATGATCGAAATTAAAGAGTGTCACATAAGTAAAAAATTTACGTTAATTGATCATAACAATTGTTAGAAATAACATTAAATCGAGATTTATAATTAATTTTATTTATGCGCAAACAATGTATATAAGTCATTGAGTAATATTGTTGAAAATAGTTGAAATTACAACCCCCCCCCCCCCCACATACACACACACAAATATATATATATATATATATATATATATATATATATATATATATATATATATACACTTAGTGTAAAAAATATAATGTCAAAGTTAATGTCTATAACATAACTATTTTAAACAACGTGAACTTTTCAATATTTTATGAACATTTTTTTACCTTGCATAACGTGCAAGAATTTGCCTAGTTAACTCTTATAAAAATCGACAATTTGAATGGTGAAGGATTGAAGGGGTACAAAAGGGTGAGAATAATCAAATAACCCTTAAAAATAGGAAACATTCTTAAGTAAATGAAAGTCATAATAATAGTGTTATAAATTCTTAATATATCATATTTACGGGATTCACATTTAAAATAAATGTGCATCAGTAATTAAAAAATATTGCACAAAAGGAAAATACTACTCTAATGCAGGACAAACCAACACAACATTTTTAGAAAGCGTTCCACGTACAATAACACATTGCTATGCAAGAAAAGAGCTTCAAAGTGAATTCAACATTTTATGGTGTTGATGGACTTTTATGTGATAATCCACAAAAAAAATGTAGAAGCTCCTTGCATGAGCATCATGCTACATACTTGTCTCTACAAGCTCACCCCTAGGCACTTAGTCAAACTATGACAGCCTTACTGAGACCACTCACTTAAAGAAGACAAAGTAGCAAGGAAACCAAAGTAAGAACAACTCAATGAAATAAATGAGATAGAAAATTAGATTACCTTGTGCTTACAAAGAGAAGATTACATTATTTGAGGGATCTGATTACAATTGATAAGAAATAGCATATAGTCTCCACACAAAACGGCGAGACAAAATGTTTTCCTTGGAAGTGCATTACCCTCTCATGTTGTGTAATGGGTTGAGTCTTTCCTATAAATAGAAAGTGAGTGACTCCGAATTATGTAAGAACACATTTTGGAGAGTTTAGTCTAGTGAGAGAATTTATATTACCCACTTGTAACATCTTGCTATTCTAGTGGAGCTTAAACATATTTATTTACTCTTAGTGTTCTTCATGATTGATTGATTCACTTGATCTTTACAATTCCGCATAAGTCATCATAATCGGGTCACTGTAATTGGTATCAGAGCGAGTGTTCTTGAAGTGTGCTTGAAGTTTTCAAGAATTTGATCCATGATGACAACATGAATTGGTGAATCACAAATGGTTGTAAGTTCTTCATTTTTTAGAGTATTTTTGACTCTACAAATCGAATTGTTCTTTGATCTTGATTCAAATTCGATTTCTCTCTCTAGAATTCATGTGATTTTTTCTTTGTCTCTCTAGAATTCATGTCGAAATCACTTTCTCTCTCTATATTTTTGATCAATTTTGCTTTCTCTCTCTAGAAATTCATTCGAAATCACTTTCTCTCTCTAGAGATTTCATTCATAATCACTTTCTTTCTGTATAAATATTCAAGTTCTTGTGATCTTTTTGTTAATTGATTAAAGATGGTGTGTTTGAATTATGATTCTTGGATCATGATGATTGAAGATGTCAAGTACAATGTCAATGAGATGCAATTTAACGGATTATTCTTGAAAGGCGGGTTTATTACCTGGGGTTTTTTAATCTCTTATGGGAATAAGAAAGATGATTTTGGAAAATTGATATTTCAACCTCTTTGTAAGATTGAAAGTTTGGTTAAAATTTCCATGAATATGTTATGAAATTTCCATGAATATGTTTTGTTCAGTTGGAGTTCAAACCGATGATTGCTTGAATTCTTATGATTCGTTTGAAGGAATGGTGCCATATAGAAAGCCTTTAATCCAAGAAGTTCAAATGTATCAAACTCCAAAAGATTTGATTCTAAAATGCAAAGTTCAAGCTATGAAGAAAGAAGTTGTTCTTGAATTCAAATCCTCAAGATCCAAAAAGATGACGAAGAATAAGAAAAAGAAGATAAAAAACAAGAAATTTTGGGTTTCTAAACAAAATTCTTCAAATGTATTTTTGAAGCCGCAATCAATGAAGAAAATTGGGTTCCTAAGAAAAATTCATCAAATGTTGCAATGATTTCGAATTCCAAACCCAAAATTCTTGAAGATTCTCAAATTTGTTATGAAGATGAAGTTAGATCTTTGAAAAATGAGAAGAATGGAGTGTACAATGTGCATCGTGGGTGGTACAATGTGAAATTTGGTGATTTTCTAATTGCAACCAAGGAACCAAGATCTACCATGATCGATTCGAGTATTGCAAATGGAAAAAAGATTATCAAGAAGGTTTCTCAAATTTTCAAATGGATTCTGAAAAATTCCTGTTAAGATCGATACCTTGTTCTTGAATATCTGATGATGAACGATTCAAGTTTTCTCGAAATTCAAATCCAATCATATTTTCAGTTCGTGCTTTCACTATTGATTTTTTGATAGTTTTGATTCGTTTGATCTAATTTGTTTCGATCCCCATTGTTGATCCAATATTTTCTTTTATTCAATCTATTCTTTTGATCCAAATTTGAGCCCAAAATTTTTTTTTGGTTACTGTTTAATGATCCATTCATTGTATGCCCAAAAATCCATTCGATTGTAATCTACTTTTCATCATCTCAAGCCCAAACTAATTTTCCTTTTTTATCTTGATTTGGAAATCGAACGTGAATTGAGAGAAGAGAAGTAAGTTTGAGCTTGATGTAAAGTCAAATGAAAGTCTAAATCAAAACTGATTTCGATTTGGACTTAATTGGGGTCAAACGTAAAACGGGTTGGGATTGAAAGAGTTTGCAGTCTCGTTTTTCTTTGAAATTTGCTTGAGTCGAATTTTTTCATGACGTTAATAGTCGAGCGTCTGGGAAAGATTTGTTTGACTGTTTTCGTTTGTATCAGGAACGGATTTTGGAATTGTGGTCAATAGTCGAAAGTCACTTGATTGCAATAGAAATTGAGTTCGACGGTATTGATTTTCTATTGAGTCATGACTACTTCAATTGATGCTTCGACTGAGAATTGAGAATCACAAGTCGAATGCAATAAAGTCGAAAACGAATTTCAAAAACGAAAGTGAATGTATCAAATTTCACTGATTTTTGATTGAATCAATGGAGTCAATGGTACTTTGGGTCAAACAAAAAAGTCAATGGTTGAAGATGATTCGTACTTAAAGTATTGATGATCAAAATTGGATTTTCGTGTGGGTTTAGTGGATGAAAGTTCAATGTTAAATTGAAGGTTTTTGTAACGTCCCAAAAATAAGACCCGAAATTTTTTCATTTTTAGATTAATAAAATAGTAAACCATATTATTTTTATAAAACCAAGGTAAACCACTTGTGTCAATACATCATCAATCATCAAAGTAAATCACAAAATGCAGAATCATTTGGTGTGTGCTCTGCAATCATCCCGAACTTGGTCCAAGACTAAGGCCCAAACCTACCATCCAAAAGGCCCAATTCTAAATTAATCACCCAATGCCCAACCATGGCCCAATTTTCCAAATTGGGCCCAAATCCCTTTGTTGGCCTTCACCAACCGAACCTAGAATAAGCATCATCGCAAAAACCCGACGGCCCAACAACGCCCTAAACATCCAAGTCCATACATGGCCTAAACCGAAAGCCCAAGAGTCTGAAGCCCAACCTGCTGAGTACGCGGGGCGTACTCAGCTCGTACGCGCAACATACTCGCATTAGGGCTTGTACGCCCAACGTACTCCCCTATTTGGCCAACTTCCATTTTCCAGCTCTTAACCGATTAAGACTTCAACCCAAACTCAGATCTAACTTCCTTAAGATGGTTTATCACGTAAAGCTGCCAACTTTGCTTGTATACATGGCTTAATGAGGCTCTAGAGCTCAAAAGAGCTTAATAAATGACTTAATACATGCATGAGACCATAAACACCATAAAGTTTGCACCTTTAAGCTTAAGGAACCCTCCAAACATCCAAGTCTACAAGATTTAGCTTCTAAAATGGTCTTAACTCATCAAGACCAACCAAAAGGGACCAAAAAGGACCATAACATGATGAAGAGTAGATCAAAGCAATGAGTAGACAAGGTATGAACTTTATACCTCAAAAGTCAACAAAATATGGACCTAAATCTGGATCTTTAAGCTTCCCTCCAATGAATGAGTCTTCCAACTCCTTCTTCTATCACTTCAAGGAGCACAAACCACCAAAAAGCAAGACCAAGGCTCAAGAACACTCAAAGATGATATTAAGGTTTTAGGACAATGGAGGCTGATAAAGAGGCCAGCTCTTGGGACTTAAGGTGAATATATGGGGTGAAACACCCCAAAATTAAGGTTTCATTAAACCCCTAGTACGCCCTCTGTAATCCTCGTATTCCCCGCATACTAACCCCAAGGACCAAAATGCAATATTTTAATTAGGACGGGCTAAAAGGAAACATACGCACTT